AAAAAAAGAAAAAAATCTGGGCAGGCTCCATCTGAGCACACAGACTAGGATGGAATTCCTGCCACCCCAGAACGTGAGTGGGAGTGAGGGTTGGCTGTACCTGTGTTCACCAAGAGGGTGTGGAGTAAAAGAGTACCAAGGGAAATACTGCACCTTTCCAGTCATTGGCATCCAGAACGTCCTTGCGGTTTCTGGCAAGTGGAGCCTATTCTTAAGTCCCTGGAATCTGGGAGAATGCTGTCCCTTTAAATATCCACAATGGTCAAACCATTTGTAAACATTCAAAATGGCTACGCCCTCCAGACAGGCAAAAGTCCACAGCTCAGCCCACCTTCCTCTTCGCTGCTTCCCCCTTTATTCACCAGCCACCAGAGCAGTCCTCCGTGCAGTCCTTGGCTAACCAAAACCAAACTCACTGCCGTCGAGTAGGATCCAACTCATAGCAACCCCTCCTTGAGTTTCTGAGGCAGTATCACTATGGAAGTCAATGGCCTAACCTTCCTTCAGAGGAGTGGCTGGTGAGTCTGGACTGCCAGCCTTCTGGTTAGCAGTCAAATGCCTTAGGCACTACGCCACCAGAGCGCCTCAGTCCTTGGCTAGCAAGGCTGATTTTTAGGTTAATCCTTAGGTCCTAACACCACTCAGCAATATCCAACTGTCTGTTCCAGCAGGATCGCTGCCAGACCCTTTGGTGTTTTCATGGAAATTCTTGTACTAGTTGGAGTTTAGTCCACTTCTATATTCTTCCCTTCAAAACTCAGGACTCCAGGGTGAAGCCAAACTTTTGGGCTGCTTGGCAAGTCAAGTGGTCCTCACACAGTTGTTGGTAGAGCAGAAGGTGGTCAGGATAGCTTGGGGAGAAGTTGTTGAGGGTTTGAGGAGATTACATCTTGGACACATTGGATCCAGCAACAGCAAAACAGACCTGGGCATTCTTACACCCAGACTAAGACAGGGAGGCTGGGGTAAGATTTTAAATAATTGAACATGTAGGGTCCCTGTAAAATTACACAACTGCTTATCCACTGCACCACCAGGGCTCCTCAAATTATTATTTTGTGGACTCTTTCCATAAAACATCAATGATAATACATTTTTGGCTAAAGCTTGTGTATGTGTGTTTGTTTTCTTTAGGTTGCCTGCATTTGATTGTAAAGAAAGATGGCTACTCCAGAGGCACATGGGTTTGTCCAAACTTGGAGCAAAAGGACTGGTAGGAGCAGCCAGAAAGAAGCATTGATTCAAATGGTGGAAAGAGAAGAGGATAGTAGACTGGTCATCATTTTCAACTCTGGAATGTCTACAAGGGTTTTCCATCTAAATGATATGACAAGAATGGTCCTTAGATATTCTGGTACAGAACAAAACAGACTGCTTTTAACTTTCCAAGACAATCGCTCCTTGCTCATTAACAAATTATCCTGCAGAGATGCTGAGAAGTTGGAGAAATTTCTGGACAGAGTTCATCAAAAGACATCTCAACCAACAATGAAACTTGACCGTGATCAGGGTGTCCTTGGCAGTGGGACAACACAGGAGAAAAGCAACAAAGTCTCCTTTCAAAAAGTTGGTAACAAGCCAAGTAATGGATCCTTTAGTCTAGGAAACAGAAGTGGGACATCTGTCCTTCAGGAAACACCTTCGTTAATGTCCAGATCATCCACTCTCGTCAGGGCAGGGTTATTGGAAAATCCATGTGGCAAGAGGAAAAGAATGCTCTCATCTAATCTAGAGATGCATGAGGACTTGCTGAAAGAGAATAACCCTGTACTAAAAGCAAGAAAGAATAAGAAGAAATCCAAGGCAGATCGCTTAAAGTGTGTCAGAAGCAATGGAATGGAACCATTGAGTTTAGAAGATGTAGAAGACTATATTAAATCAGAACATGGACATCCATTCAACAGCAGCTCTCCTGGAAATCCAGACCTAGGTGAAAATGTTCTTTCAACCCAGCATATCTCCATCAAAAGAAGTAGCCCAAATGAGCCAGGACTAAAGGAACCCCAGGTACCTGTTAACTCTTACCAAGAGCAACAACTGCAGGGCTTCCCCAACCTGGGAAATACCTGTTACATGAATGTGATTTTACAATCATTATTTGCAGTTCCATCATTTGCTGATGACTTACTCAACCAAGGAATCCCATGGGAGAATGTTCCCTTAGATGCTCTTATCATGAGCTTGAGCAAGTTGCTTGTTTTGAAGGATCTTTGTAACTTAGAGACCAAGGTAGAGTTGCTTGTGGATGTTAAAAACTCTGTTTCTGCAGTGGCAGCAATATTCTCCAGCAACATGGAGAACGATGCTCATGAGTTTTTAAGCCAATGTTTAGATCAGATGAAAGAAGACATGGCAAAACTAAACATCACTTGGAAGACAGAGAGGGCAACTGGTGAAATTTCTCACCCACAGATTCCTGCTGCTAATGCTGCCACCAAAGTGTTTATTTGTCCTGTGGTCGCAAATTTTGAGTTTGAGTTACAGCGCTCCATCATCTGTAAAGCCTGTGGTGAGGTTGTTTGCAAGACAGAACTGAGCAATTATCTCTCCATCAACCTTTCCCAAGAAACACAGCCGCTGCCTTTGTCCATTCAATATTCTTTTGATCTTTTCTTTGGAGCAGAAGAACTTGAGCATAAGTGTGAGAAATGTGAGCACAAGTGTTCTGTTGCAATGCACACATTCAGCAGGTTACCCAGGGTCCTTATTGTTCATCTGAAACGCTATATCTTTAATGATATTTTGTTGCCTGTGAAGGACGACCAGGAAGTTGATATTCCCAAATATTTAAGGTTATCCTCCCATTGCAATGAAAACACCAAACCACCTTTTCCTTTGGGCAGCAACGCATATATTGAGGACTTGCAAGTCCTGAGAGGGTCTGAAGGCATGATTCCTGGGCCCATCACATGGGCCTCTCCAGTGATGTTGTCATCAGTGTCCAAAGATTCCCTGGTTCCACAGATTGGCCCAAACAAGGACATTGAACCACAAAAATGCCAGAGACTCTCTGAAGAGTCAAGCCAAGAACAGCAGCAGAGAGATCAAGGAAATGGCTCCAAATTAAATACAACAGAGTCTGGCTTGTTTCACCCAAGAGATGGGGCAGCCAGTGAGAAAGACCAGCCAGCAGCTGACTTAATGATTGGTCAGGAGGACAATTCTCTTTCAATGATCTGTGACTTTGGAGATCAACCCATTAGCAGCCTGTTCTCAAGTCTTATAGAAGCTGTTCTTCAAGAGATGACTGAAAGCCCAGAACTGAAGACACACGAGACAAACAACACATCTAAAAAGGTAGATTCTGATAGAATCACTCAATCTACTGGAGATCTTCATGAGAATAAAGAAAATAGGATTCTAGAAGGATCTCAAGGAACAGTTGAGCAGCTCCAGCAGTGTGATAGGAAGAGGATCTCCAAGGAAGTCGTTCAACAGGTACCCCCTCAAAGCCTCAGGAAGCCACACGCCCAGGAACACACAGAGGACCTCAGCAGTGCTACAGAGTCAGATCGGCAGGAGGCTAGCCTGAATTCCCCCAGAGCATTGGGTTCTGGTGAGAACCCTGGAAACAAAGACATCTCAGGTATGGAGAACATGGAAACTGGAGCCAGGGAACCAGGAGGCAATGCCACAGTGAAGGACCCTCCTCATGCCTACAGGCTCATCAGTGTCGTCAGCCATAAGGGGAAGTCCCTAGACACAGGTCACTATGTCAGCGACGTCTTTGACTTTGTGAAGCAGGCCTGGTTCATGTTCAGTGACCTCTGGGTCTTGCCGATCGAAGAGGCCACAGTGCAGAAGGCCAGGAGCCACAGCGGGTACATCTTCTTCTACATGCACAATGACATCTTCAAGGAGCTGTTGAGAAGAGCAGAGACTTCCCAGTCACCGAACACGGAGTCCTTGGAGAGCGTCCTTCAGATGGAGTGAGAGGAACACTCTTTGAATGTATCTTCTTGAAGGCCTCACTCGTGACCACTTCCGCCATGAAAGGAAAATTCTGAACTCTACTCAGAGATGGAGACAAGCAGCCCAGGACCAAAGCTCACATAGACACACTTCGTATGGGAAATGTTTATTCCAACCTTGCTGCAGGCACCTCTGTCCCACAGCTTGGGGTGGCAAGTGCCCTTCTCTCCAAGACTCAAATGGTGCTTCTCGTGTCAGAGGTACTGGTTTTGAAATGTTTCTGAACAAGCAAGGTCAGCGTTAGTGGGGAAGCCATTAGACCTACTGAAACAGAATGGCGAATGTGAGACCCACCCGCCTGATGGGCATTCTGAAACTTGTGAACACTGCTCTAGTGTGCACCCTGGAGTGTTTTGCTGACATATGTGAATTGGAGTCCCTGGGTAGTGCAAACAGTCCACGTGCTCAGCTCCCAACCAGGAGGTTGGCTCCCATCTGCCCAGAGTGGCCTTGGAACCAAGGCCTGGATCTACTTTGAAACAACAAACCCTTGAAAATCCTGTGGACATAAAAGGACAAATACTGTATGAACTCACGAACTAAGCAAATGGACAGAGTCAAGAGTACTCATGGTTACCAGAGTGCGGGGGGAGGAGAGGGAAGTGGGGCATTTATTTTTGGGGCACTGAGTTTGTATTAATGGTGGTGGGATATTTTGGAAAAAGATAGAAGTAATGGTATCATAACATGAAAAATGTAATCAAGATCACTGAGTTGTAAATGTGGCAGTGGTGCTGGCTAACGCTTTGGAGTGTATAATATAAAATTGTAAAAAAATATAACCCTACGGAGTCCAGTTGTACTCTGACATGCATGGGTTGCCATGAGTTAGAGTTGACTCTGTGGCACCTGGTGGTGGTGGAATATATCAACTGCTTATGTTGCACACGGGATGTTAATGATAGTTTGGTATTTCTTGTATTCACTCATGCCTTTCTTTTGTAAATTCAGTAACAACACAGCCAGTTGATGTACAATTGATTAGCCTTCAATGGTACGTACCATTGACTAGCCAGTGAGTGGTTGCTGGCAAAATTTGCTAATTAGTAGTGGACTGTATTTGCAATCCTTCCAGGTATTGCAGGGCACAGCCACAGGATTATGTGGGAAATGCACTTTGTACAAAATGTTGTGGCGGTGACTTGCAAATAAAGGCGTTGTTAAAATGCTTCTTATGCTATCCCTGTGCAGAGCACTAGGTGGCACCAGCAAGGAACTGGGGGGATCACCTCAGATCGAGTTCCGCGAACAACAGGTCACTTCCATTTTTATACACTTAGAAACCAAGACGTTACGCGTGTACATCGGATGATATGGAAAGTGTTTGCATTCAAGCTTTGGTGGCGTGGTGCCTGAGGCATTTGACTGCTAACCAGAAGGCTGGCAGTTCAAAGCCGCCGGCCTCCCCTCCTAAGGCTGATTGGCAATCTGCTTCCGTAGTGATACGGCCTTGGAAACCCAAGCAGGGGTCACTATGAATGAAGTTGACTCGTGGGCAGTGAGGTTTCTTTTTTTTTTTTTAAAGTTAATTAGCTTTAGTGGGGGTGCCGGGCGGGTGTCTTTTGGCCTGTGACGTCCAAAGTTCACTTTCAGGTGAAGGTTCTCCACGTTGCACTTGGGTGGCTAAGCGGCCACAGCGATGGTCACTTCGGCCGGTTCTTCCCGGCTCTTAAGACACCTTCTGCTGGTGTCTCGTTTATTTACTCTCCCGTGTTCCTTGAGGTGGGCACTGCAGGGAGCCTTACCCTCGCAGCCCCACGTGACGTGGTGCTCAGGCGACTGTGGAGGTGGAACGAGTGAGAGGCACATGGAGGCGGGGCCCCCAATGGCAGGTTCCCTGGCCAGGTGGGGGTGATTCAGGCAATTTCATTGGTTTTCCTTCCAGGGGATGTGGCTTTGGGGTGCTAGTAGTGACTTCTTGCAACAGAGTAGAATGCCCCATAGGGTTTTCTTGGCTGTGTTGTAGTGAAAAAACCCACTCAGTCCTTAAAATGAGATGCAGGGAGACAGCAGCCCCCATAAGTGGGCACTGGTGCCCCCAGCTGAAGAACTTGAAACAGAGACGGTGCAGGGGACAAGGAAGTGATAACCCAGCCCTCGGTGAAGTCCCAGGGAGGAAGGGTTAGGCTTCTACGGCTTGCTGAGTATCGGAGAGAGAGAAAACCCACACGGTCCGTGAAAATGCAATTGTTGTTATGGGCCGTCGAGTCAGACCCGACTCCTAGCAACCCCTCCTTGGGTTGCGGAGGCAGTATCACTATGGAAGTAGATTGCCCAAACTTCCTTCCGAGGACGGGCTGGTGGGTTTGAATCACCAGCCTTCTGGTTAGCAGTCAAGTGCTTTAGGCACTACGCTACCAGAGCTCCTGCCAAAAATGCAATTACGAGGGTTTATTCAGAAACTTAACATCTGGATGTGGGAAAGCACCAGCCCACCTAGACGAGAACTGACGGCTTCCACGAACAACTTGCAGCTGAAACACACAGAGTCTGAGGAACGCAGCAGTGATAATACAGCGGTTTGATTGGCTGGTCTTTGGTGAGGTCACAAGGAGGATGGGTTAGGGGCGGGGAATAGACTCTATTGGATAATTGCGTGCAGAACCTCACAGGGAGTTATTTCAGGACCTAATTACAGAGCTTCCAATTCTCAAACAGCTTCCAGGTGGGATCAGAAAACGTTCTGATGGACGTTCACACAGCTTTATCTCAGGAGTGGGTATAAACTCTTGGTGGGGTCAGGATTATGTTTCCCAGACACAGATTGTTAAACAAAACTTTCAAGGGGTCTGGGAAACTTTAGAAAAGGCTGCTCCAAACCCCTTCAAGCAATCCTCTTTTACACATCTTTGTCATGAACAAATATTTCTTTGGCCGACTTTGTACAAAGGACTCGTGTGTTGAGATCCCTTCCTTACAGTGTATTTCCTTCACATCGTGGCTTGAGTAGAGAGAGAAATACCACTTCTTAGTGTTATTGCTTCAGTAATGAACACAGCCGGCTAACAGGAGCTTGGGGTGGGGGGTGGGGGGACGGGCTTTTCAGCTCAACAGATTCCCAGGCTGGCAGATCCTAGAAAACAGTTTAGTTCAGCAAGAACTGTGTGAAATTCCATTATTCAGACTCAGTCAAAAAGGCATAATGAATTTCTCCTTTACACTGTTTGCATTCAAGCTTTAGTGGCACGGTGCTCACAGTGGTTTATTTCAGGAACTAACTACAGAGGCTTTGAATACATTCCTCAGGTGGGACCCTAAGACGTCACTGGTGGATGTTTAAAAGCTTTAATCAGATGTGTCAGAATTTGTGAAAAACATCTTGGTGCCAGGATCTCATTTCTCTAAGACAGCTTGTTAAACAGAAACCCTTTAAGTTGTCTGGGAAATTTAGATAAGTCTGGCTCCGAGACCTAAAACAATTCTTTTTATTACATCCTTGGTGTGAGGAAATATTTCTTAGCCCAGTTTGTACAGAAGACATCTGTGTTAAGATTCCCTTCCTAAGAGTGTATTTCCTTTACATCCTGGCTGGACCAGAGAGAGAAATTACTTATTAGTTTTTATGGCTTCTGTTGATATGCCCAAAGAGCTCTGGTGATGTGGTGAAGGCATTTGGCTGCGAATGAAAAGGTTGGTGGTTTGAGCCCGGTGGCTGCCCGTGGGAAAAGGATAAGGCAGCCTGCCCCCGTAAAGGTTTGTTGTTTTGTGGGCCGTCAAGTGGATTCAACTCAGCGACCCCTCCTTGGGTCTCCGAGGCGATACCACTACGGAAGTCGATTGCCCAACCTTCCTTCTGAGGAGTGGCTGGTGGATTTGAACCGCCAGCCTTCTGGTTAGCAGTCAAGTGCCTTAGGCACTACGGCATCCTTGGAAACCCAGTGGGGGTTGCTGAGAGTCAGAATCGCCTCAATGGCAGTGAGTTTGGTTTTTTGCTTTATCAACGTGCCCAGATAACAGGAGCTTGTGGGCGGTTTTTCAGACTCTGCAGCTAAGCAAACGTGGCATCCCAGGCAGGCGGACAAATAAGAGAACAGTTTAATTCAGCGAGAACTGAGTTTAATTCCGTCATTTAGTTTTGGTTGAAAACGTTTTATGAATATCTCCTTTGTGGCTTTATGGAAGCAGAGTTACTGGGTGGGTTCGAACCACCAACCTTTCAGTCGGCAGCAGAGTTTTTAACCTTTGTGCCACCTGCGCTCCTTGCCAGAAGATGGCGCTGTGTTGAAATTCAGAACTAAGACTACAGTGAGGTGAATGAGGCGCTTGCGTTGGGTACAAAGTGTCAGGGATATCGAAGGAAAAACAGCTCAGTGACTGAAGTAATATTTAAAACATCAAAGTGAATGGGGAAAAAGTCCCTGATGAATAAATGATCAAAACTTTCAGTACAGTTCCTGCACGGTTCACCTCACCGTAACCTCAGCCCTGATGCCTGATAAAAACGCAGCGAGAGGCTCTTTAGTAAACATTTGTGTTTATTGATGTAACAGAAGATGTAGCACAAATGAGCAGGGTACGGTTTGCTGAAATTTCACGGATTGCCACAGAAGGTGCGAGAACCAGCCACCGCCCAGAACTGCTCCGGGCCCTCACAGTTCCTACTCCCACCTCCGGGCAAGGCCTGCCCGTAGCCTGACTTCTAATACTGGGGACTAGTTTTGCTTAGTTTTAAAATTTATGTCAACAGAGTCACTCAGGACAAATAGTCTTTTGGGATCTGCATTCTTACTTCATGTTGCATTTGAGCACCACCTCTAAAAGTGAGTTTAAAAAACTTTAAATAACCCATTGGATGATTTTTAAAATTCAGGATTACAATGGAAAATTGTTCTTTCTCCCACTCTTCTGCAATTTTCCTTTTTTAAAATTTTTGTTTTTTTGGAGCGTCTTTGGAGAGAGGGTGTAGGCATAAGCAGGTGACTGCACACAGAAGGCAACGTCTCCCTTTCTCAACACTTCCTGAGTGGATTTGCTTTCTCTCCATTGCTGTTTCTTTGTAGTGTCCCTCGGTTAGCATTTGTCTAGTGTTTCCTCCTGGTTAAGGTCAGCATCCGCACTTTGACGGTGAAACAGCAGGGGTGATCTTGTTTCCTCCTTGGTGCGTCCTCTCAGGAGGTACCTCATGTCAGTGTGTGCTGTTGTTGGTTAGCCAGATGGTGGTCGTCCAAGTTGGTCAATGGCGCTGTCATTTGGTAATTAGTAAGTCATCTGTGAGGGAGGTTTCCTTGAGACAATATCTTGTTCCTCATCCAACACTTGCTTAAAGGTCTTAATATCCATGACTTTTGTTCTAAATCAGTGATGACAAAAAATGGTATGCATTCTTTTTTTTTTCTTTTTTTGCTGTCTTCCAGCTCTCCTGAACTCCAGACACAGGTGGCTCAGCGGGGCTGGAAGTGTGTCTAGCACGTGCATCTGCCTGCCTAGGTTCTGTCACCATTTACAGAAGGCTCAGCTTGAAGTCCTAGGGGAGGAGGACACTCTTGGGAAGAGTGGAGACGGACTTGGTTACCATAGTAATGACATCACCTACACCGGATTTGTTTCTACGCTACCCATTCTGGACCCAGAGAAATACAGGCACTAGTGTGGGCAGCTTCTATTCCTAAGGAGGAAAGATTGGGAGAAAGAAAAATGTAAGAGGCCAGTTTATATGCAGACAAGTGAACACTTCCCCCTCTATCCAATCCAATATGGAAGCTGCTGACTTCTACTGAGAAAGAGCCTGTCTCAGGCAGCACATGCCTGAGGGTTCTTTACCCCGTTCAGTCAATCACACCTTCGACAAGGTTCACTGAGAATTTACTGTGGACCAGGCACCACTGCTAACTGGAAGGGGGTAGTTTGTACTCATCCAGCAGCTCTGCCGGAGACAGACCTGGTGATTTGCTCCGTAAAGATTAGGGCCTAGAAAACGCTATGGAGTAGTTCTATTATCACAGGGAGTTGCCGTGACTTAAAATTGACTCGACTCAACAGCACACATCATCAGTAGGCACTGTCCTCGGCCCTAGAAGAGGTGCCCCAAATGGGTTGCTGGAACCCAGCTGCAAAAGAGTGGGCGGTACACTCCTCAGAAGGGTCCCAGTCTTTGGAGAAGCCCCCAGGGATTTGGACCAGCCCACTGGCTCCAGGGACCCTGATCAACCACCCCTCTCCCAAGAGGAGCAGTTGGTTTCACCCTGTGGAAGCAGTGGTTACCCAAGAAAGAGGCTCAGCTTTTGAACCAAATTGGGCACAACAATCAGGTTGTCTTGTACCTGGTCTGGTCTTCCTTCAAGGGCCTCATCAGGTTCTTCTTTAATCTGAGCAGGTGATCTAGATCCTTGGTTTTGAAACCACACCTAAGTGGGTGAAAAAGAGAGATTTAAGAACTAAAAAAGGGGAGACATCATTTATTTCAGGTCTAGTTCCAAAATAGTGACATGTAGACAACTTGTGTGACATTCTACGAGACCTGAAGATAAAGCTCCGGACTTTGACCCCTGACCCCAGTTCTTTCTCATCTGCTCATGGGCCTCAGACCCTGACAGCCCCACACCCCCTTCATTATTAGGGCTGGTCTTTCCCTGAGGCATCATGGCTGTAGCCTAGCTCTTCCCTATTCTTCCTCCTCAAGAATTTCGATCATGTAACTTTATATCCTTTCTCCAGAGTGAAATCCATTCTTCTGTTGGGAGAAGAGGAGCCATTTCCATGTGCAACTCTATAGCACGTACCCTCCTCTGTGTTTCACAGAGTCCTCACCACCCAAAGGAAACAATCGGAATGCTTTCTTGGATTCCGTCCTCTGTCACGCGTTTTCTAAGCACCTAATCCATTTCAAAGGAGCCCCAGTGGGGCAACGGTTCGGTGGGTGGCTGCTAACTGAACGGTGATGGTTCGAACCAACCCAGTGACTCCACAGGGGAAAAGGACTGGTGACCTGCCCCTGAGAATCACAGCCTGGAAACCCTGTGGGGCAGTTGTACTCCGTCACTTGGGGTTGCTATGAGTCAGAATCGACTTACAGTCACCCAACCACAACATGAGATAATGAGAAAGGTCAAGAACATAACGCCTGTGAAGATTTCAGTTGAGTGCCTGGCTCTTATTAAAGCTAGCTAACGGTCACTCTTGAACTCACTCACTCGCTCAGATTCTCATTGAATGCCAGAGCCAGGCTCAACTCAGAGGGACACAGCACTAATCAAAACGGAAAATGACATCAAAGGAGAAATCATCTACAGGACTAATGGTCTACAGCAAACACGGCTCATCCACCCTGAGACCAGAAGAACTAGCTGGTGCCCGGTGTCCAGCTACCACTACCAGTCATTCTGTTTAGGGCCACTATAGACGGATCCTGATAGAATGGGAGAAATATATGGAGTGGACCCCAAATTCCTGAAAAAAAGTCAGACTTCATGGACTGATTGTGATTGGAGGACTTCAAGACTACTGACCTAAAATACTCTTTTACCTGGTGTGGTAGTTCAGTTTGTGTGTCAGCTTGGCTGGGCCTGGTTGAGTGGCTGGGCAGCTGGTGGTAGTTATTCCCCATGATGAGACTGGCAGGTAGGTTTGAACTGCCAACTTTCTGGTTAGCAATCAAATGCCTTCAGCATTACATCACCAGAGCTCCCATATATATGTGTATATGTGTGTGTGTGTATATATATATATTCTTTATATATATGTGTGTGTGTGTATTCTTTATATATATGTGTGTGTATGTGTCTTTATATATGAGTATGTGTATATATTTATATATATATAAAGAATTCTTTAGCCATCAGAAAAATGCAAAGCCAAACCACAATGACATACCATTTCATTCACACTCAGATTTCTGAGATGGAACAAAGACCAGAGACATCATCTATTGCTGGTGGGAATGCAAATTTTATATATATACACATACATATGTACTATATATAGTGGAGGCCCTGGCTGGTGCAAAGGTTAGCACACACAGCTACTAACCAAAAAGGTTGGAGGTTTCTGTCCACTAAGAGGGACCTCGGAAGAAACTAATCCAAACCTCTTCCTCATCCCCTCTCTTTCTTTCTCTCCATCATCCCTGCCTCCCGGGCCCCATCCATGTAAATACAACCAGACCACATCCAATTTGTTTTTAAATACAACTCCTTTCTGAACCTTTGCCTCTACATTTTGTCATGTAACTTCATAGCCTCTCTCCAGTATGAACTCCATTCTTCAGTCCAGAGAAGAGGAGCCATTTTCCTGTGCAACTATACAGCGCATGCCCTCCTCCGTCTTTCACTGTCCTTATCACCCAAAGGAAACATTCTAAATGCCTTTCTTGGATTCCTTCCTCTACCAAGTATTTTCTAGGTACCTAATCCATTGCATAGCGTAGTAGCTAAGGCACTTGACTGCTAACCAGAAGGCTGGCGGTTCAAATCCACCAGCCACTCCTTGGAAGGAAGATGGGGCAATCTACTTCCATAGTGATACTGCCTCGGAAACCCAAGGAGGGGTCGCTATGAGTCGGGTCCGACTCGATGGCACATAACAACAACGACAACAATCCATTGCAAAGGAGCCCTGATGGTACAACGGTTCGGTGGGTGGCTGCTAACGGAATGGTTGATGGTTCAAACCAACCCAGTGACTCCTCTGATGCTCTATCCCTGTAAAGATGACAGCCTGGAAAACCCTGTGGGGCAGTTCTGCTCTGGTCACTGTAAGTCACAATTGGCTTAACGGCATCTAACCACAACGTGAGATAATGAGAATATTCTTGATAGAATAGAATATATGCAAAGATTTCAGTCAAGTGCCTAGCTCTTATTGAAGCTAATAATAACCTCGAACTCATCCACTCAGTCACGCAAATTCTTAGAATGTCATTTGCCAGGCACAGTTCAGAGAACAGAGGACACAGCGCTAACCAAAACAGAAAAAAAGAAAAAAAAAAACCAAACTCACTGCCATCAAGTCACATCTGACTCATAGCAACCCCTCGTTGGGTTTCCGAGGCAGTATCACTTTGGAAGTAGATTGCCCAGTCTTCCTTCTGAACGGTGGTTGGTGGGTTGAACCGCTAGCCTTCTAGATAGCAGTCAAATGCCTTAGGCACTACGCCACCAGAACGTCCATCAAAACAGAAAGAGAAATCAAAGTACAAAGTCATCTGCCGGAGTGATGGTCTACAACAACTGTGGCCTTATCTACCCTGAGATCAGAAGAACTAGATGGTGTCCAGTGTCCGACTACCACCACCAATCATTCTGTTTAGGGCCTATAGATGGATCCTGATAAAATGGGAGAAATATATGGAGTAAAACCTCAAATTCCTGGAAAAAAAAAAAAAATCTGACCTGATGGGCTGGTTGAGATTAGAGAACTCCTCAAGACTAAAACCAAAACCAAACCCACTGTCATCAAGGAGATGCTGACCCACAGCGGCCTCCATTGCTTTTCCCAAGCTGTAAATCTTTAGGGAAGTACATTGCCCCCTCTTCCTTCCACAGAGCAGCTGGTGGATTTGAACCTCCAACCTTCTGCTTAGCAGTCAAATGCCTCAGGCACTGTGCCACCAGAGCTCCTTATCTCAAGACTACTGCCCTAAAATACTCTTGTACCTTGTCTTGTCTTTGTCCCAGGGCCTCATCAGGTTCTTCTTGAATCTGAGCAAGTAATCTAGATCTTCGATTCTGAAACCAAACCTAAGTGGTTAAAACAAAGAGATGTAATTAAAACAACTAAGGAAGAGGAGAGGTTGTTTATTTTAGATCTAATTCCAGGAGAGTTACTGACATGTGTATGACCTCTGTGACATTCTACCAGAACTGAAAATAAAGTTCAAAACTCTGCCTTTTGCACCCAGTCCTTTCACATCTGATCATGGACTTCGTATACTGACAGTCCCCATGCTCCCTTCATGATTAGGGCTGGTCTGTCCCTAAGGTGTCGGGCCTGTAGTCCAGCTCTTCCCTCTGGATTCTCTTTCCATCTCTGTCAAAATGTCCATCTTCTGTGACAGATGATAGAGTAATCTCTTCTAGGAAGACATTCTTCATCCCAACAGAGAATTAATTACTACCTTTGCCTGAACACACACATACGCATATATATGTATATATAATGTATTTGCATTTTTCCGATGGCTAAGGAATATATATACACACATATATGTACACACATGTATATACGTTATATATGTATATATAATGTATATGTATGTGTGTGTATATCTATATTCCTTGTTGTTGTTGTTGTTGTTGTTGTTGTGGGACGTTGAGTCGGACCCGACTCATAGCGACCCCTCTTTGGGTTTCCAAGGCAGTAAATCTTTACAGAAGTAGATTGCCCAGTCTTATTTCTGCAGAGTGGCTGGTGGGTTTGAACCACCAATCTTCTGGTTAGCAGTCAAATGCCTTAGGCATTATGACACCAGAACCCCTTATCTATTTATCTATTAGGTCCTAGGAATCTATTAGCTGTGACACCAACAGACATGCACCTCTATGTTCATCCCAGCACTATTCACAATAGCAAAAAGATGGAAACAACCTATGTACCCATCAATGCATGAGTGTGTAAGTAAGTAAAATATAGGACATAAAGTGTCTGTGTGTGTGTGTATATATATACATACATACACACACACACACATCTATGCACACACACATATATACATAATTTATGTACCATTATTTATTGATCCATTCATCTGTTGATGGGCACATATGTATATATGTATGTGTGTTCATATATGTATGTATGTGTGTGTACATATATATATGTGTATGATGTATATATATACACACGCGCACACATACATACAGTGCATATATGTGTGTGTGTATACTATATATATATATACACACACACATACATACTATATGTAGTAGAGGCCCTGGCTGGTACAAAGGTTAACACACACAGCTACTAACCAAAAAGGTTGGAGGTTGAGTCCACTAAGAGGTGTGTCAGAAGAAACTAACCCAAACATCTTCATCATCTTCTCTCTTTTTCTCCATTATCCCTGCCTCCCATGCCCCATTCATATAAATCCACATCCAATTTATTTGAAACACAACTAATTTCAAAACTCCTCCTCCTTCTCATGACATTTGATCATGTAACTTTATACCCTTTCTCCAGTATGAAATCCATTCCTCAGTCAGGAGAAGAAGAGCCATTTTCACATGCAACTCTATAGCACGTACCCTCCTCTGTCTTTCAGTGAGTCCTCACCACCCGAAGGAAACATCGGAATGGAATGCTTTCTTGGATTCCGTCCTCTGTCAGGCGTCTTCTAAGCACCTAATCCATTTCAAAGGAGCCCTGATGGTACAGTGGTTCGGTGGGTGGCTGCTAACTGAACGGTTGATGGTTCAAACCCACCCAGTGACTCCACAGAGGAAAAGGACTGACAGTCTGCTCCTGTGAGGATCACAGCCTGGAAAACCCTGTGGGACAGTTCTACTCTGTCACATGGGGTCACTATATTTGGAATCAACTTCATGGCGTCTGAGCACAACATGATAATTAGAAAGGAAGAAGAATATAATACATGCAAAGGTTTTAGTCAAGTGTGTGCTTCTTATTAAAGCTAATTAATAGTCGCTCTTGAACTCACTCACTCACTCACTCACTCAAATTCTTCTTGAATGCCATGTGCCAGGTACAATTCAGAGCACAAGGGATGCAGCTCTAATCAAAGCAGAAAGTGAAATAGAAGGGAAAGTCGTCTACAGGACTAATGATCTACAACAACCAAGGCCTCATCTACCATGAGACCAAAAGAAATAGCTGGTGTCCGGTATCTGACAGCCACTATCAATCATTGGGTTTAGGGCCACTATAGATGGATCCTGACAGAATGGGAGACATACGTGGCTAGAACCCCAAATTCCTGAAAAAATAAAAATCAGACTTAATGGACTGGTTGTGATTGGAGGACTCCCCAAGACTACTGGCCTATGATACTCTTTAAACCTTGAACTAAAACTAGCTCAGGGTCACCTTTTAGATACACATCAGATGGATCACAAAATAAAGAATATCACTCATGAGCACTGTGCTTCTTTAAAAAAATCATCCATATTACACCAAACAGTCAACAATTACTTTAAAACAAACATGAGAAAGAGAGAAAGGAAGAGCTCCTATGAGAAAGAAAGGGGACAGGGAAACAAGACTAACAGAAATGGAATAACCAGAATGGAAATGAGAGTGTCCATGCATTGTGAAGAACGGAACCAATAGCGCTGAACAATTTTTATAGAAATTGTAGAATGAAAACCTAAACTGCTGTGTAAATCTTCTGAAAACCCAATAATAAAATATTATTTTAAAAAATAGAGACAGAGATAGCAAAGACCACAAAGAGGTGAGAGAATGTACCAGACAGAGAGAAGGACTCATGCAAGGCCTTGGTGGGGGCGTGTGCCTGATGTGCTGAGAAACACCCCAAGATGTTTATGTTATGTTATGTGACTTCCCTGCCCATTCTTCTCCAACCCCAGAAAACAGAGTGAACAAAGTCTTTATCACTTACTTGGACTCTTGACTCTGGAACCCCAATTTCTTTAGCAAGTTGTTCTCTGGAATCAATCCCAGGGTAAGGGTTGTTCTCAAATGCCTCCACGAGGGTGTGTAACTGAGAATAGTTATAACAGGTGCGACAGCGCCTGGCTATAAGGTAGATTGGAGGTAAAGGAACATTTTAGGAGCCAGTTTACAAATTCAAGCATGGACTATGTCTCCATCATATATGGGATGGTTCCCTCCCCCTGAGAGGTCCTCTTAGGCCCATCCTGGCAGAAGGTACCAGAGCAGCAGGAGGATATGGAGAGGAGATGGCAGGAGGTAAGCAGTGGAAGGTCTCAGAAGGTCTAGGGACAGGGCCAGGAAGAATGCAAAGAAACCACGTTTAACCTTTTGCCACCAAAGAGCCTGGACAGGAGGGCACATTCATCTACCACCTGAAAGGAGCAGTTGGCTCCACTACAAAGAGGCACTTGGGTGCCCAAGAGGCTCTACTGGGAGAAAGGACGGGCACAGGCTATTAACCTTGACTCCTTTCTTCAGGGTCATCTTGTTCATGGTCTTGGCTTGATTCTAAGGCCTTCTCTGGTGTTGGTCCCTTCAGAACTGGGTGTCTAGCTCTTCGATTCTGAAACCAAATCTAAGTGAGGAAAAGAAAGTGATGGAATCAAATATGTCGCTGCCATCTCAGCCCCACCATTTGCCTTTCTCCCAAACTAAGAGTGAATTAAGAGAACAATGTGGAACAAAACTCAAAATCAAAAAAAGACCAGGCTTGCTGGACTGATAGAGCCTAGGCCTAGTGAAATCCCCGAGACTACGGCCCCTAGGCACCCTTAAGGCCTGGAATTGAACTCACTGCCACAGCTTCCAGACAAATAATAGACAGGCATATAGCGTGAACATTTACACGAGGTAGACACATGCCTTAGAATGACAAGGGAGAATAGAAGGGCAGTATTTGCACAGGGAGATGGCTGAGGGGACAAGAATGCATAGGAAAGAAGGACACAGGGAAGAGGTAACTACAGGGAAGAAGTGGGAAGAGAGCTGTTACATTGTGGGTATTGCACTCAGTGTATGAAACAAAATGTGTATGAACTGCTCTATGGAAAATGAATTTGCTCTGCAAACTTTCATCCAGGTCACAATAAAAATTAAAAACAACAACAACAACAACAACTAAGAGTGAATGATTCTTTCTCTTTCATTAGGATTATTACCAACATTGACTGCATCCTACCAGGACTTAGTCAAGATCAGAATTCTTAGACTGGATGTAGTGCCTTCACAAACTGGTCCCCAACAATGTTCACATTATGATCTGCTATAATTATTGTGCTTTTCAACATAAAAAATAGTCTTTGCACTTATTGTGCACCTAAGAATTAGTTAAAGCATTTCCTCTTCTCTGAAGCTGCACCTACAAACTTCCTCCCCACTCCTGTAAGGTCCTTCAACCACTAAGAACAACATTCTTGTGAGTTCATTCTGAGTATCAGTCAACATTGTCCACACAAAGCCTTTAGCATGCTGGCACATAATATGTGCTCAATTAGTGGTTCCCCCAACCCCACTTTCTACTTCTAGTCTTGAAGAAATAGAACTTATAACTTGCCTGGATTCTAGATTCTTCGATGTTGATTTCTAAAGCAAGTTTTTGTCTGGCAGCATAATTTGGGTAAGGTTTGCGGTTGAATGCGTTGATGAGAATTTTCAATTGCTCCCCTGTGAACTTAGTGCGATTGCGCCTACAATTCATTGGTACAATCTCTGTGGAAAGATGAGGAGAGAAGGGGCATTTAATGAGCCAGTTGACACATTCAACCTTTGGGTTCAAGCTACTTCCTGCTTTTCACTTCTGTCTTGGAGTACACCTGAACCCACTAGGGAAGAACTATCTTCATACAGTTCATATAATCATAATTCTGTCAAAGACACAGCTTCTCCAACTTGTTCCAACATTATTCATAATTTTTAAGTGGTCAAGCATTAAACCAGGTGGGGACCCTTCTAGATCACAGCCCTGTGTGACACACAGGTCACACTCCTATGAAGCTGCCCTTGAGACTAGCACATGGCACATAATATCCACTCTATAAACATCTGTTGAAAGGGACACTTGTTGAATGACCCTCTGGCAAAAATGATGGGTATTTAACCCTTCAAAACAATTGTCCCCACTCAAAACCAACCAAGTTTCAATCAGAAATTAAAAGAAAAAATGGCTTGAAGAGCAGTTCCAAATAGTCTGTGATGGAATTAGCAAAGTGAACTGCTCTGAAATTGGGTTGAGGTTCAAAATCTTTAGGGACCCCACCCATCTTAGACAGTGGTTTGTTTATTCTCAGCTCGCAGGTCCTTGACTACTCTTAGAAGGAACATTCCTTTGGGGTAAGAACGTCTACAAGGAAACATGAGCCCCTAAGTAGATAAGCAAGGACTCCTAACAGTTCTTCTTACCAGAACAAATCCTTTGGGGAACAAGGGAATAGGGTAATAGGGACATTAAGGTTTTCTGGGGCACTGGAAGGTTGAGACTGGGCATGGAGGAGGTGGAGGTGAGAAGAGCCAGAAAAGAGGTAAAAGCTGAGTAAGACCTTTCTTCATCCCAGCATTCACGTTTGAGAGTAGTGTCAAAGTCCACTCCAT